AATAGACCTAAACAGCATGCTACACCGGGTGATCCAAAATAACTGCATACAGTTTAAATTTGGCGCGTAAAGTTTGTAGTGTTTTTTTACTTAAGGCACTCGCAAAGATGTTTAAAAAGTGGTTTTACTTATGCAGTAATCGCCATCCATTGGCGTCGTTTTTATGTGAATTTTTATTTTCTTGTCTGTACCGCGATGGCGTGATCCATGTTTGTTAAAGCAAACAGTTGTTTTCAAAGGTTCTTTGCAAGTGCAACAAAGGTAGGTACGTACCTACATTAAGAGAAAATACTTAATAAGGATCATGTAACTTTACTTTTTAAAGAGGATGGAATTGATTTATTCATTTTAAAAAAGTACTATCAAGCACCACACGTTTACAAGATACTCATAAGTCATAGTTGACTTGGTTGTGCATACAGCAATTAAACGAAAAATATGCTAGGTACCTGTTAGTAGACGTTATCGAAAATAACGTAGCTCCAAGAAATTAATTCGGAAATTATCTATACAAGTTGGTGGGTATAACCACAGATTAAACATAATACGCACGATAACTATTTATTACTATTACCACATAATACGGAATATCGAAATGTTTTCATGTAGTTTCGAAGACGAAGTATGGATTCATTTATGAGAATAAGTTGATAGTCGGAACTGAAAAGAACAGTGATTGTTTAATTAGCTTAGCACCACAGCTTTTAAATAAATGACATTTGGTATATTACCAACTTTACAAATGTTTAATTTTGCGGGAACTTCGAACTGTCCGTCTAGTCATTTTGGATCACCCGGTATTACAGCACAATATAAATTACGGATTTGCGGAAGCGCCCTTTTATTGTTGTCGTAGCAATGTGGATCCGGACACTTCGGCGCCGCCAACTCGGTTCCAGCGCCAGGGCATCTCGGTGCAAGGACAACTTACGCGCGGGGGCAACTGTGCACGAAGACAACTCGGCGCGGGGACAACTCGGCTCTTTTGCAAAGAAATCTCCTCGTAAAACTACTTATACAATTACAGAGAAACAACTACCTACCTGATTCTGTTGGCAAACATTCATTAACCTATTAAATTAGTTTTAATTGATTAATTAATTAATTAATTAATTAACTTATTTATTTATTTATTAACTTATTTATTTAAATTAGTTATAAGCCCTCTATTGTGCGCCCAATTACAGAGTGACCCACATAATGCTTTTAAGACGTGCCCCTGCAAAAGGTCTTAAAGTGTTCTATACTACTCCGGTATTCACTTTACGAATTGCATCAGCAATCTGCATAGGAGTAGCCGGTAGAATGATCGAAACTAATATTTATAATTATTATAAATAAATTTAATGTATTATAATAAACTCCCATCTCGATCACACACGAAAAATTCTTACCTCGGCCCAGGTTCGAACACCCGACCTCCAGCTATATAGCCGAACGCTCTACCACTGAGCTACATAGATGTGATAGACGCAAAATAACACAAAAGCATTCTGCTCTCAAACTGCGCGAACGAATCCTTTATTAAAGGTACCAATCATGCCTCTATCCCTAGATATCATATAATTATATGCATAATAATAATGTATACAGTGCGCATCCAACGAGAAACGACACAATAGTAACTCAAAAAAGAAGATTCGTCATATTCGCCAATAAATGACTTAAAACTGAATATATAAATTGTAAGAGTTCGTAGATGAATACAAGGAAGATTTGAGAAGTTTCGCTTTTTGACGCATATTCCAACGAAGTTGAGTGAGCTATTAAAGCCACTTGTAAGTCCCGTCTGTCCGTCCGTCCATCCATCCGAGACCTTAACTGCTTCTACAGCTTTAATATCAACTTTCTTATGTACTTAACAGATATTTTTTTAAAATTTGAATCACAGATGCATCCGTTAAAGGCAAACAAGTCTCATATTGTAAAAATTGGATGAATTTTGACCATAAATGCTTTTTACTTGTTTGAAATTTTACCCACAGGTGCTGCGCAGGTAACTATCGCATATTGCAAAAATCAGATGTGCACATGCGCAGATTGCGCAATACTAACTTTCTTACTTATGGAGACATTTCTTTGAAATTTTAACCATAGACACTTTTCGTAAAGAAAAACATAGATTACATAGCTATGCCATTTTGGGAAGTAGGTACTAGTCAATGCATGGAAAATTACTTTTATCTCTCATGTATTCTAATTAAAGGTCTCAACGGAAGGAACCATTTTCTACCAACTACTGCCCTTCTTTCTGTAATCTGTTCCTTATCAAAGTACGGGGTGGAGGGGGGAGGGGTGGAACTAGTTTTATCCTTCACGGTACTCTAATGAAAGATCTCAACGAATGTAATTAATTTCTAGCAATCATATCCCTCTTATCGTGATCGAGTATATTCCCTCACACCTCAAGAACGGATTGTCGGAAAAGGGTACTCACAAAGGGCGATTGAGACGTCTGCAAGAAATATATCCATTGGTGATGTCAAAACAAAAGCT